TTAGAATGCCTGAGCCACCAAAAATACATGGGTAAAAACCCTTTAAATTACTTATAGTTATCAAAGATTATACATCTTGTTGTTAAAAAACTGTGATGTTCATTATTAAATTAAATATGACTTCAGGTAACATACATTGAAAAAAGTTTTGAGTTCCAGAGCCGGGGAGAAAACCTCTACGCACGGAGAACAGCTGGAAACTCTGAAAAAAAAAATGGTAAAAAGAATGGTAAAATAAATCTGATGTCAAAGGCAAACTAAACAGATGGAGAGAATACGTCCAAGAATTGTTTGAGGATGACAGGACACAACAAGATAACATGAACGATTGCGAGGATCGTGATATAGGTCCAAATATAACTAAGGATGAAATAATACATGCAATAAATCTGGCAAAATCTAATGAAATGTGCGGGGCCTGACACAATTCCAACTGAAATAATTAAATTAATATCAGAAGATCAGATCAATGTATTAGTAGATTTATATAAAACTATATATTATAATACGGATATTATTCCGAGAGATTGGCTCAAATCAACATTTATTACATTACCAAAGAAACCTAATGCAAGGGAATGTAATGACCACCGTATAATTAGTCTAATGGGTCACACACTAAAAATATTCTTAAAAATTATCCATTTAAGAATTTTCAGAAAAGTGGAACAAGACATCACTGAAACCCAATTTGGATTTAGGAATGCCATGGGTACACGAGAGGCATTATTTGGATTTAACGTCCTCATGCAAAGATGTATGGATGTAAACCAACCACTCTATGTTTGTTTTATTGATTACAATAAGACGTTCGATAAGGTCCGACACAACCGTCTTATACAGTTACTTAAAGATAAACACATTGACAAAAAACTTAAGAATAATAATTCATCTGTCTGATAAAATCTTTGGTCTACTTTTTTCCATTAATTTCAAAAATAATCTAACTGGGTATAAATTTTTGTTAGATGAATTTCTTACGAGCCATTTGCTGCTTGCCAAACTTTTCGAACCACCTTGACTTCTTTTGGAAAATGCTGTTTTTTTTATGTTAATAAAAAATTTAATTCGGTCCATTAATAAAAATTTATTTTTCCCATAAGATCAAATTACTTATGAAAAAAGTGAATCTTTCAGTTTTCGACCTCATTGCCTCTCCAAGCAAGTTCAAATGAGCAAAGGTGAAAAATACTCTTTTTGTGCTTCATCGGGGGTTTCCTCGTCATATATTTGGATGATTTTTAATAATAAAAAAGAGGTTATATCTATGTAAATGGGTATATTTAAAAAAACCCTTAAAAGGGTTACATCAACTAAACGAACGTTTTCGAAATAAAAATTCCATCATCAGGTTTAAATTGCCTAAAATAAGTATAAACCATTTAATTAAATAAACGTGGTTTAAATTTTGACTAAGGCTAAAAAAGAGCAAAAATGGTTATACTTACAAACTGACATGCCTGAGCCACCAAAATATCAGGGTAAAAACCCTTTAAATTACATATGTTTGCTAAAGATTGTACATACTGTTGTTAATCACATTTAATGTTTGATATTAATTTAAATTTGACTTCAGGTAACATACACCCATGTTTTTGGTGAGTTCCAGTGGCCGGAGAGTAAATCTCTTCAAACGGGCTCCAGCTGGTAACTGATTGACAAGATACTTATAAACGGTGTCGAAAACAAAATGTCAATGCACCATGAAACAATGTTAATTATACATAGTATTACTACAGCCAAAAGATTCAAAAACTTTTATGATGTTAAAAAATAACAGCAATCCAATTTTAAAAATTTTAATTATTTAATTTTGGATATAAAATATTTGAAATTACCGATGGTATTAAAGGGCATGTTTAAGAAAATGACGTGTGCATTAGGCAATCTATGTTACTCTTTGTCGTGTGGAGTGTGGTCTAAAAAGTGTAATTTGATAAGTGATAGATTAGCTAAGATATAAGAAAATTGTCCTGTTATGTTGATCACATCTAGGACAGGGTAAAATTGAATGTTATATATTTGTAGCTAATTTAAGACCTCGTGTTTAAATGAAATTGTTTAAGACTACTCATATGGTGGAAAAATTAATACAAGTAAGTCTAATGAATTGAAAAGAGAAGGGTTATAAATCATCTGGCTGAAGAATTAAATTTATAAATTATGGAGTTAAATTTAAAATTGAAAAGGCTGAGCTTCCCAGAGACTGGATAAGAATCAATGTAAAGAAAATGACTGAATAAGAAGGGGGGTGGGGTTTAAAGAAAGTAAATGAGTTAATCAACAATTAGAGGTAATAGAGGTCCTGCATGCTGAAAGCATCTAGCACCCTGAACAAAATCTATTTTCAACCATAATCCATAGTATAGTCCGGCTTCTATAATATAAAAATGTAGCTTCTCCAATTTAAATTTTAAAGTGTTTGTTTGTCTTTAGTGTATTTGTTATGTCCCAGTTTACATGTATGACATTCGGTTATTGCTGGATAGGCCACAATTGACGAAATGCCCCTGAGGATGATCTTGTGATCGAAAGTACTTGGGCAAGATTTAATTAAATACTGTGTTCGATATTTGTCTTGTGTACCATCAAAGTTAAAATCTATTTTGTTGTGTTAAATTCGGTTGATAAAAAAAACCTGAAATTTGATGTGTGTGTGTGTGTGTGTGTGTGTGTGTGTGTGTGTGTGTGTGTGTGTGTGTGTGTGTGTGTGTGTGTGTGTGTGTGTGTGTGCTACTAAGTTGTTGACCAAGAGAGGGAAGCAATGGTTGATTAGGATTTTCTTTTTAACGGGGGAAATGATGAATTCTGATATATTGTTAAATTATGTTTAAATGTTTATTGAGTTTAGAACTGATGAGTAACTTATTGATATATGAAATGATCGAGAAATAAACAAAGAAAGAAGAATAGACAGGAATATGATGTAGACGTGAAGAGTGGAGAAAACGATGAAATAGTGAGGTGTGACGAGCGTGACGAGCGTTGGATGGTTATGAAGTTAATAATGGGGTCGGAAAAATTGTGACGATGGTGTAAAGAGAATGATTGTTTAAAGAAAATGGCGGATACAATGCACCAACAAAATTAATTATAAACAGGAAGAAGAACAATTTGAATACTAAGTTGAAGTACAAAAACAGATATATTTATATCACTCAGTCTTCTAATATACAGAGATTTCTTAGTGTATTGCAAAATGCTATTTCGAATAATATAATGACATTTATGTACCCGAAAAGAACTGTCATTGTTTTAGCATTCAAATATTTATATTCTACATATTCTCCACATATTTAATATTAGAATGAAATTTAAAAGGAAATAATTCCAATATCTGCCTTCCCCAATAAAAAATTCCGAACACCTAAATCTTTATTTTACTATAAATTTTAAAGCTACTGTGAAACCTTTGGATATTTGCCAAGAGGTTTTAAGAAATTGCACGATGGTGCTGCGAGGCATATAAATATACAGTGAATTATTATATAAAATATACTTTAAGCTTCGAAAGTTAACGTTAAATGATTAAAGCGTAGAAAGTAGCAGCTTGAAGATAAACGATTAGGGATGATACGAAAGCTAAATAATTTGCACCGGGCTGCTGCTAAGATTTATGAAATCTAGATTTATGTCATTTAAATATAACGGTAAAAGTTATATGATGTTTCTTAATGTCTGAGTACAGTTCAAACTTTTATCAACTCACTTTTGCTTTTCTATCTATCTATATAAGGATTTTTACAGTAGTCGCTGCCTTCCTTCTTTCAGCCAACGTCTCCAGTCCTTTCTGTTCTGCCATTCTCCATCTCTAAGGTCTCGTCTTTCCATGGCCTCGTTCACTTCATTTTTGCTATCGAAATATTTGCTATCCACCTTGTATTATCTGTTGTTCTCACATGTACATACCAAATTAAACGTTTTTCTTCGATGTAGCTGAGTATGTCTTGTTCTACTGCCATTCTTCATTTTATCTCCTCATTTCTGATTCGATCTATTTTTGTCACACTGCAGCTTCTTCTCATGAACTTCATTTCAGTTGCTGTGACTTTGCACCTGTTTCGTTTATTTATTACCCAATTCTCAGCTCCATAGGTCATTATACTGCGTACCAAGGTGTTATAAATTATCTTCTTTGTATTTCTGGTAATCTGTCTATCCCACAGCACCCTGTTCATTTGTTTAATACATGTTCTTGTCTGTGCTATTCGGCTGGTTATCTCTTGCTCGGTGGTTCCATTTTTGAGAGTATGAATCATAAACATTTGAATTTTTCAGTTCCGTTAATTTCCCTATCATCGTCCATTTCCAAGTTTCTCACTGGTTCTTGCTCTGTTGTTAAATATTCGGTCTTTTCTAGGTTTATTTCCAGTTCATTTTTTGTGTATTCCATTTCTAATTTTCGGAGCATATATCACAGATCTTCTTCATTTTGAGCTGTTACCACTTGATCATCTGCAAAGCTTAATGTGTACAAGAAGTTGTCCCTGATTGGTATTCCCATCCCTTCACATTTCCTTTTCCATGATTTTTAATATTTGTTCGAGGAATATCTTAAACAGTGTCGGAGATGTAAAGTATCCCTGCAATAAGCCTTTTGTGGTCTTAAATTCGTTGGAGTATTTATTGCCGGTTAAAACCAGCTTTTGTTTTTGTTACGATTAATTTGACTACACACTTCTCACAAATTGGTTTGTTTAGTTATTAGTAACTGTTACTCTTTCGTTGGTATACAGATTAAATTTTTTTAGTCATGAGTTCTTCTTTTGTTTCTTCACTGGCTTTACAACTCGGGGTGAGTCTTCGCCACATCTACTATCGCTCTACATCCCCTATGATTTTGCGCTTCTATTTCCCATTGTTGTACCCGAATTCTAGATCAATCGGCTTTAACACCATCCTTCCTTTTTTTCTCGGTCGGACTACTGATCTACCATATGGTCTTTCAAAAACTCTGTCTTTAACACTCTGTCGTCCTCTGATCGTACCAGGTGACCTGCCCATCTTATTCGGTTTGCCTTGATATGTCTAACTATGTTTTCAGTTCCATACAGAGTCACCAATTCAGCATTGCGACGTCTTCTCCAATTCTCTGTGAATTCATCTCTTTGGGCACCAAATATTATTCTGAGAACCTGTATATAACAAGCGAGTCTTCTACAGCTGGCGCCGCTTCTCGCATCCTAATTTCCAGCGTTTTCTGTCGAAGCAATCTTCAGTTGTTAGATCTCTGGCGGTCATTGCATCATCGACATCGTCTCTGCAGGATCGTCTTGGTCTACCTCGTTTTCTTCTAGTTGGCGGAGTCCATTCTTCTATTTTTTTTATTCTCTGAAGGTGTCCATACCAGTTAAGTCTTTTGGCTTCGATTGTGTCTATTATGTATAGATCGATTTCCATTTCTCTCCGAATATCTTCGTTTCTCACCTTATCAAGTCTAGTGAGCTGGTAACATCGTCTCCAGTAGTTCATTTCCATGGCCTTAATTTTTGAATTGTTTCTTTGGTTTATCTCCCAGAGTTCGGTGCCATACAGTCCAATACTTTCTATTATTGTTTTATAAATTCTTTTATTTTCTTTTGTTATTTTTTTATTCCATAATAGTCCGTGTAGCTGTCTGGTGGATGATCTTGCTTGGCCAATCCTGGAATGTATTTCTTCGCTACTTCCTGCTTTTGATGTTATTTGGACTCCCAAGTACTTAAAATTGTCTGTTGGTTTTATAGTTCCCATTTCGATTTGTAGGCTTTCTGGTTTTTCTCCTACAACTAAGTACTCAGTTTTTTGTATATTAATTGTGAGGCCCCATTTGGTGTACTCATCTTCCAGTTTTCTAAGCATGTAGCTTATATCACTCTCGTCTTCAGCTAGAATGGCTTGGTCGTCAGCGAAATGTATCGTGTACAATCTATCATCTCCGATTGGGATGCCCATATTGCAGCACTTTCTTCTCCACAGTGAGAGTGCCTCGTTTAGATATATTTTGAAGAGTGTAGGTGCTATGCAGCAGCCTTGCTTTAGGCCCTTACTAATAGGAATTTCTCTAGTTAATCTATTTCCAGTTTTAATGTTTGCCGTCATATTTTTGTAGAGCTGTTGTACTGTTTGTATATTTTTTTCGCTTATTCCTTGTTTTTCCATTGCTACCCAAAGCATTGAAAATGGTACACTATCGTATGCCTTTGTCAGATCTATAAAGACTATATGAGTTGAAAGGTTGTGGGCTAATCTTTTCTCGATAACTTGCTTTAGAGAGAATATACTGTCCGTGCAGGATCTGCCTGCACGAAAGCCATTCTGTTCTTCTACATCTATCATCTCTTTTTCAATTTTATTTTTTATTATTTTTCCATACAGTCTTGAGAGTGAATTTATGACACTTAGCCCCCTATAGTTTGAACAATTCTTTCTATCTCCTTTTTTGTATATGTTGTTAATATGTGCTTTTGTCCACTCCGGTGGTAAGTCGTGTCCATTATAGAATAAGGTGAAGACATACGCCAGTAATTCCCGTAATACTTGTGGGCTATGTTTTAATAATTTATTTGGTATACCTTGTGGTCCGCATGACTTCCCATTTTTTAGAGTTCGTATTGCATTCTCGACTTCCTGTACTGTTATTTCATCGTCTTTACTGTATTCCAGTTCATATGTTGTTGTACTGATGTTCGTGAATTGAGGTCTTGTTTCAGTCAAAAGTTGTGAGTAGTGTTCGATCCAAGATTTTTCTTCTATTAAATCTATTCTACTCGATTCTTTTCTGTTTGTTCTCAGATTTTTTACCGTTTTCCATGCTTCTCTTGATCTTGTTGACCCTATATATTTGTTGAGTTCTTCGCATTTACTTTCCCAGGAAATATTTTTTGCTTTAGTTACTAAGTTTTTTACTTCTCTGTTTGATCTTGCATATGTTCGTGTATCATCTGGATCATTTGTTTGCAGCCACTTTTGATATGCTTCTTTCTTGTTGTGTACTGCATTGGCGATGTCATTTGTCCACCACAATGGAGTATTCTTTTTGTTCTTTTGGATTTTGCCGAGCGCTTCATAAGCTGCTTCATTGATTTTATTGATTATCTCTTTATAGGTATTCTGGGCTGAGGAGTAGATCAGGTTTGCCAATTTTTGGCTAAGTCGCAGCTTATATAAGAATGATGTTGAGTCGTTCTGAGAACCTTTCTTTCAAATACTAAAAGCTTATTGATTTCCCGCTGGTTAAGAGTCCATGTTTTACTGCCATATGTAATCATTGAGCGAATAATCGACTTGTACAATGTTAATTTAGATTTAATTTTTAGCAGCTTCGATCTTAATAATATTGAAGAAGAGTATAATGCTCTATTTCCCGCAGCTATCCTTGCTGAGACCTCTTTTTCTATGTGGTTGTCGACTGTGATTATCGCCCCCAGGTATTTAAACTCTATCACGTCTCTGGTAGAATGCGTGAGTGCATCTATATCATCAGCCAAGGCTAGCAACAGTTTTGATCCTTGATCAGCAAATCCTCCTGTCAGCTCAGACGATATTTTACTCATTGCATATTCTGAAGCAAAATTGAACAGCAATGGTGACAAGGGGTCCCCCTGCCTTTTCCTGAACTTATACCAAATGGCATCCATGTTCTGCTTCCTATCTTTACTTATCATACACATATGAGTGTGTCACGCACATGAATTCTAGAAAGTATAAATGTTTCAGCAAACGATGATTGCTGAAAAAAAGACGTTAATCCAAAAAGTAAGAAAGGTGAGAGGAAAAGTGATGTTGCAAAAGAATTTAAGATTTCTCTGAGTACTCTCTCAATCATCATAAAGCACAAGGAAAAAATTAATGCTGCTCATACTGCTGGAGTACGGAAAACTACTAAAGGCACTTTTCCTCGTCTGCAAGAAAGTGTGATCATTTGGCTAAGACAGTGTAGAGGACAAAAAGTGTATATTAGCGGAAACTTGTTGAAGGAGAAACCTAAACAGATCGCGTCTACTCCAAGGATAAAAAGTTTTGCGGCAAGTGAAGGGTGGCTTACAAATTTCAAAAATAAAATTGGAGTTTTGTTTAAAAAGTTTGTAAGGAAAGTGGAAGTATTGATGTTGTAATTAGCTTAGATTGACGCAGTAAATTGAAGACCTTGATTGAAACCTATGATACCCGAGACATTTTTAATACTGATGAAACTGGGCTACTTTACAAATGTTTATCGGACAAGACGCTTACTTTTAACGATGAAAAATGTCATGACGGAAAACATAGTAAAGAAAACTTGATACTTTCACTTGCAGTAAATATGGAGAATTTGGAAAAACTTACTCTTAGTGATAGAAAAAGCAATGAAACCATGAAATGTTTCCTACGGATTATCGTGCTAACAAAAAAGCTTGGATGACGACAGAACTGTTTAACAATTGACTTTTAATAGTTAATAAGGACATAAAACGACAAAATCGGAGAATTTTACTGTTTTTAAACAATTGAACTATCCACAACAGTCCTTCTACATTGCCCAATGTAGAAATCTACTACTTTCCGCCAAATACAACTTCTAAATTGCAACCATTGGACCAAGGGATCAAAGACGTTCTATCGCAAAGCAATTTTATTGTTAAGGTCGTTTTAGAATCTCTTGACAAGCAGCTAACAGCAAATATCACAGTTTTGACAGCTATTTTACTGATTGGCAAGACATGGAGAGGTGTAACACCCCTAACAATTATCACTACTTCAAAAAATCGTTGACATCAGCGGTGTGAGTTTTTCTGACTTTGTTTAAGTGGATGAAAATTTTGCTATCTTAGGTTCACTAACCGATGGCGAAATTTTTTCTGTGACAGATACAAATAAAAAAAGTATCGATGAAGATAAATACCACATATCAGAACCTTTGGCAGAGGTGTCAATTAAGAAAGCAAGATCCTCATTTGATACCTTACAAAGCTTCTGTCTACAAAACGAAAGTAATAAAAAGCATTTCAGACCACTCTTAAAAAAACTATTGAGCAATCTTAGCAGCAGTAATGTGCTTTGAAGCAAACCGGTATAATACAGTTCTTTCGAAAGATTAATTAATTCACATTATGAATACATAGTAAGTGTTTATCATAGTAAGGTTGAAGAAGTGGGTGCAAACTAAGAATTCGCACCCACTTCTTCAACCTTACTATGATAAACATCTACTGCCCAACAGATGAACAAGAGCAACATACAAAGGAAAGCTTCTACCAACAGCTGGAGATAGTATATGACAACGCGCCAAAAAATGACATTAAGGTTATAATGGGTGATATGAATGCCAAAATAGGCAAGGAACCGCAGTTCTATGGCACAACAGGAAAACACTCACTGCACAATGAAACAAGCGAGAATGGGGAGTTTTTGATAAATTTTGCCACCAGTAAAAACATGGTTATAAGCTCCACATGCTTCCCACATAAAGACATACACAAAATGACGTGGATCTCACCAGATGGAGCCACAACCAATCAAATTGACCATGTGATGATAGACAAAAGGGCAGCCAGTAGTATCTCTGATGTGAGAACACGACGAGGAGCATGCTGTGGATCAGACCATCTTTTACTGCAAACCAAATTTAGGTGCAGAGTTAACAGAGAAAGAAACGAAAGACAACAAAGAACAAACAAACTAGACCTGGAAAAACTGAAGACTCAGGAATGTAGAGAGAAGTTCGAGCAAGAAGTCACAAATGAGCTAAGGACACAAGAACTGCACTCCATAGAGAGCAAATGGAATAATATCAAAACAGCAGTGCTGACAGCAGCAGTGTCCACCGTGGGAAACAAGAAAAAGAAGAGAAGAGGAACATGGTTCGATGACGAGTGCAGGCAAGCGATAGAAGAAAGAAACGAAGCGCACAAAATGTACATAACAAGAAGAACACGGGAAAGACGAACATCATTTGAAGTCGCAAGACGGAAAGCAGAAAAGATATGCAGAAACAAAAAGAGAGCTTATGAAAATGGACAAATAGAAGAAATGGAACAAAATTTCAAAAAAAAACGAAATTAGAGGAGCTTACGAATACCTAAAAAAGATAAAAAGTGGATATAAACCTCAAACAAGCCTATGCAAAGATGAAAGTGGGCAAATAATCAGTGACCAACAGAAAGTCACAGAAACCTGGAAGCATTATTTTCAGACCCTACTTGGAACACAAGTAGATATGGAAGATGAAATGGGTACGAACCATGTAGAAGAGAACGAAGTTGAAGTAGAAGCTCCAACCATAGAGGAAGTTCTCGAAGCTATTAAGGCCCAGAAAAACAATAAAGCCCCGGGAGTTGACGAGATTCCAGCAGAACTGTATAAGGTAGGTGGCAACCACCTATCAAGTCATATCCACGCGCTTATCAAAGAAATATGGCAAGAAGAGAAAATACCCGACGAATGGAAGAAAAGTGTAGTATGCCCAATCTATAAAAAAGGAGACAAACTCCAATGCAAAAACTACCGTGGAATCTCTCTACTATGTACAGCGTATAAAGTCCTCACGTATATTATAAACCAGCGACTCCAACCACTAGCAGAAAATATTATTGGAGAATATCAGACGGGCTTCAGACGGGGAAGATCGACAATGGATCAAATATTTACAGTCAAGCAGGTCTTGAGCAAATCGTGGGAACACGACATTGATGTTCACAACGTGTTTGTAGACTTCAAACAGGCATACGATTCAGTCAAAAGGGACAGACTATACTATATATTGGCAGAATTAGCAATACCACTTAAGCTAATTAGACTCATTAAAGCCACAATGGATGAAACCCAGGCATGTGTACGAATACAAAACAACCGGACAGACTTTTTCAAAATCTCGCAGGGACTAAAGCAGGGAGATGGGCTGGCACCAACATTGTTTAACCTGGCACTGGAGTATGCGGTTAGGCAAATGCAAACTGGACGAGAAAACCTACTGACCAATAAAACGGTTCAACTGGCTGCCTACGCCGATGATATTAATATTATGAGTAGAACATCAACAGGAGCACAGGAAGCATACGCAGAGTTAAAAACACAAACGAAAAGGCTAGGTCTGGAAATTAACACAGAAAAAACAAAAATAATGGTACAGACGAGAAGAAATATAATCCCACAAAACATTATACATGAAGATGACATTGAAACGGTTGGAAAGTTTACATACCTGGGAGTAGAAATATATGCCGATGGAGCAGAGGATGGAGAAATACGAAAAAGGATAACGCAGGCAAACAAAGCTTATTTTGCCCTCTCCCATATATTTCGGTCTAAAAGTGTCCACCGAAATACAAAGATGAGAATATATAAAACTTTAATTCGGCCAATAGCATGTTATGGCAGCGAAGCATGGGTCCTGAAAGAAACATCCAAAAACAAACTCGACACATTCGAAAGAAAAGTACTGAGGAGAATACTAGGACCTGTGAGGGAAAACGGAATCTTCAGAATTCGATATAACAACGAGCTCTATCAACTGTATAAGGAAACACCCTGTCAGACTTCATTAGAATACAAAGATTGCAATGGGCCGGACATGTGATACGAATGGGAGAGGATAGGCTACCAAAACGAGCACTGAACGCCAGAATGCAGGGAAAGAGACCAGTTGGAAAGCCAAGAAAGCGCTGGGAAGACACAGTAAGCAGCGACGCACAAGCACTTTTAGGAGTCCGTGTATGGAGAAGAGCAGCCACAGACAGACAAGGGTGGAGGCAAAAAATAAAGGAGGCCAAGGCTCATTTTGGGCTGTAGTGCCGTAGAATATATATATATGAATACATACATGTATGTACATGAATGTACTTCTTAACTTTTATCATTATTATAGAATAACAGTTAATATTGATCAAAACTTATTAATTCGAAGTTTTATTTATTTTTTCCACAAATTTCGAACCATTTGATATGTCAAACACTCAATAAATCATAATGTTTTAAGAGTCCCTCCAGTTTCGAATTAAAGAGAGTCGACTGTAATTACGGTTGCCTTCCATCTTATATACTTTTTTTTACTTGTGAGATATGCCAATACTTTTTACCTTTAAGTATCAGTGATATATTATGACTTTAAAGATCAAATACACAACACTTTTGAGCTAGAAAAAGAGATAAATGATGGACCAAGAATATTACAGCAGGAAGTTTATTTCGCAATAAAACAGTTAAAGGATGGCAAAGTGACAGGCCCTGATAATATACAAGCAGAATTACTCAAACTAATGGACAATTAATCAATAGCAATAATCGCAAAGATATTCAACATTATATACAACTCTGGAGAAATACCAACAGAATTGCTGAAATCTGAGTTTATTGCACTTTCAAAAAAAAGCAGGAGCCAAAAAATGCAAAGATAAAGGTACTATAAGCCTCATGAGTCATCTTCCAAAATTGTTTCTAAAGATAA